ATCTAAAAGTCTTCATTTGCAGGAAGGCCAAAAAGGTCAGTCAGTCAGTCAGTCAGTCATTACCATTCAGTAAGCGCATATTCCCATCTGCTATGCTTATTGATTATTACTAAGCTACTGACTGAACTATACACCTTACTAAGGCTCCATGCATAGATGGTTCTGGAGAAGGTAGCTCCCTAGTAGATAGGAGATGTTGTGCATATTCTAAGCTAGAGCTAGGTACTGTAGACAGTTAAAGTTTGCCTCAAAAACGGCAAATGGTTCTACGTTGTAACCCAAAGGTATTTTAGAACTTGATCTATTATTACGTAAATTGTTTTTCATCCCTTCAGCTTACTATTTGCCCGACATATGTTGCAACTTCCTACTAGCCACCAATTTCCAAAGTGCACGTATTATAGTTTACTATTTACTGGTCTTATTAAGTATGATTACGAGAAGTAGCACTCATAACATTGGTCTATTACATCTAGCAGCAGCATTTTAGTCCTCGTAGTCTAAGCTTAGAGAAAAACTGACAGTTTTTTGGAGAATAGATGAAAAAGGGTGGAAACCAGGGCAAAAACTGATGTGCGCCGAGTCGACCGTGAGTGGCAAATATTTATGTGCTAGCCTAGATAACTAACTTCTTCCCCGCTATCACAGTGTAGTTGGAAGAGCAGTCACCGCAGGGGATGCGGTTTATCATTCGGTGCACAATGCAGACATTTAATCCTCAGAGGACGCGTTATGGTAGTCCGGGTGGCTCTTTTTATGTGAAACAGTACAGGCCAGATCGGAGTTTCTACGCCCCCATCATCGTTTGTTACTTGCAGCCGACATGTTCGCAAGCTAAAAAGCAATCGAACTTTCGAGGCAGCTGCCATATCGGTCTTCTGTTATGATGGGGAAAGATTGTGCGCTAGGAGGTGGAGACGTGTGAATTGGGCCAGGAGTCGACAAACAGACAAGTCCAGCTGTTATCGAGTCCGGCGAGGTCAGACTGAGGGACGAATTCCAACCAAGACACGATGTCCACCACGATCGACGTAGTAAGTGGCTAGCTAGTTTCCATCGTCGATGGTTTATTTGGCAGTCTTCGGATATAACTGATGATGGCGACATGAACCAATTAGAAAAATCAAAATAATACACCGATCTTTCCAGTCTTCTACGTTTAGTATAACCACTTGCTCCATAGTTAACATACTATTGGCGTTTTTACTACTGATTTTTGCTGAAAAGCACTGTCTGGCAAACAGACAAACCTCAGAATTGAGTAAGTATATTGTCGAGTGTCAGGAGGTTCCAAACCGAGCTGTTTTCTGAAGTAAACAGTGTGGATGAGGACTTCCTCTGTGTCAAAATAGATTACCGACCGAGACCAGGGGGAATGGAATGGCTATTTTTGGCTTACTATCCGTCAGCGGCCAGCCATATCCAACTCCAGGCGTTACAAAACCTGAGACTCGAACATGACCACTGAGCGTCCTCTACAATTGTTAATGTACCGGATGGCAACTGACAGGACAACGAACGTTTATAGAGTTCGGCTTTTAATTAACAGGCAACGAAGATTGGGATTGGGTAGCACTCGCTGATAGCGGCTAGTAAGCCAAAAGTGACCCTTACAGGATCCCTCCTGTTTACCAGTAATTGTACTCTGCCTATACTACTAGCGGCTGTGCGGCTGCCGGCGGAGCTTACGAGTGGTCTTCAGGGCACAAAGAGGCAAATTTATCCTGGAACGTCCTCAGCAAACGCCTCTCTATCACTCGCTGGTACTTTTTTAAAATTAGACTAAAATTTGTGCTATTGAGAAGAAGAAGATTCGATCGCAAGGACAACGCTTTTATTCACCTGACGTTTCGACGTCCATCGTAGATTTTTCATCAGAGACATGAGAAGAAAATAGAAGCAGAAACGGGTGATACATGCACAGGAAGTTGTAGTATTTATAGGACACAGTCATTTCCGCACACTTATGACAACGACAATTAACGAGCATCGCCCTCTTGTGCGTTACTTGTTTGCTGACCGGCATGCCGGCCCTGACCTGCTGAACTTTTATCAGGCGTGGTGGGATTGGACGTGATGATTGCTTGGCTATCTGGTTTCCTAGTGTTGTCGTCAGACGACGCAGTGGCCTGTGTGTTCCCTAATTGGCCACTTGCTTTGACCAACTTGAGCCTCAGTACCGAATATGGATTAGGCAAGTCGGTGCACATGTTTATGGATTTTGGGCCCGTGAACCATGACTCGACTAGTTCTCGGCTCACACGACTGTCATCTCTTGCGAAAATTTCGGTCTCATCAAATTTTAATGTGTGGCCAGGTCTCGTTGAATGAGCCGTGACTTGAGAATTGGCATGATTTCGCGGCAATGCTGCTGCGTATTCAGCAATTCGCGTCTTGAGAAGTCTGCCAGTTTCTCCGGCGTAGTTGGTTTGTCCGCAACTGCACCAGATCCTATAGACGGCTCCAGATGTTCCTTGCCGTAGCAGTGGGTCTTTCGGTTTCATTATCTGAAGCCTTATGGTTGCCTCCGGCCTGTGTGCGACTCCAACTCCAAGTGGTGCGAGAAGGCGGCCGACGACCTCCGAGACCTTTCTGACATACAGAATTTTTCCCCAAAATTTGGGGTCGGTGCTATGATAAAACTATTCGTTTTTTTGGCATTCTACATCTACTCCTGGTTATATGTCAGCCTCGGCAAAAGGAGTTCATTGCAGCAGAGATTGTTCTGTTCTTCACGAGGTGATAAGAGGTACACGATACAGCTTTGATTACAGCTTCACTAGACAGCCCGGGCATTTCGAATAGGGCTTAACCTGTTTTCAGCGGCTAAAATACCGCATGGTAAGGACATTGGGATCCCCTTAGTGTCTTGACAGGCCGTATAACGCCCGACTTTTGGCCATCTTTCTTCGTCTCCGTTACGTAGCTTCACTGTCAATGGATGCCTTTGTCGTGATAAGGTGCTAAAGCGAGTTCTCACGAATCTAAAATACGAACGGTTTTCCAGTAAGGGACCCAGCTGGGGTTGTACAAGCTTCTATTGTGAAAAAGAGCGCACCGAAGGCTCAGCGAGAAGTTGACATAAGTTGGTTCGTCAGACCACAGCGTATGTCTGTTTCCACTGGTGAGATTTTAATCCCGCAGAACATATGCGTCTCTAGCCTGTGTCCGCCTATAGCTAATCAGTGAAGGACGCACGCTGACTGGCTAGGGCAAAGATGCGGGTGGCTCCAGGAGCGTGAGCTTGATCGGAAGGCCTGAGTAAATGGTTGCGCTAGCGACTACCGGAGCGTACTTAAACAGCTACAACACCAAACTTGTAAGGTGGCTGATAAAGGAATTGATTGAACCGTCTCAGCTGTGTTTTTGGCCCTCAGGATGTATAAACAAGTTTAATAAACCTGTCAGCTGTTGCCATACATCGCTAAACCACATTGTCATACATTAGGTGAGACGCTGAATTTATCTCAGAGAACTTCGGTGGCGAATATTGTCTGCAATATCGGATCATCTCAGGATTAAGTGAGTGGGTAAACTCTCCAAAAACGTAAAATGGTGCAGCTGAGTGCGTTTTTGATGTCTAATAGCGTAGGTCACCGTCGATAATACCTCCTGCGCTTTAGTTCTTTGAAGATACTTGAACGGAAAATAAATTTACCTTAGTTATGGGGATCATTCCTGTTTTTTCATACTTGTTTACCTGATTATGTAGTCTTCGATTGCATAATTATGGCTAACCTATGCGATTTGCATAAAGGATTAAATCGGCAGGAAAAAGTCTTCGCGCAACCCTGTAGATGCTTGAAGTTCGAACCTCAGGTGGGGCACCAACTGGAGTTGGGAAGGACTGGCTGATGACGGCTAATAAGCCGGAAAAAAGCATTCAAGTGTCCCTCGTCTTTGTCGGTCATATTATTCTGTCTACATCATTGGCCACTGTGCGGATGCTCGCGGGCCTGATTGCTGGACGCAATACAGGCGTTTCCGTTTTGACTTTTAACTGCAGTCTAGAGCAGCTAAAAACGAATGATCGTTTCAGTCCCTGTGGTCATCATCAGCAAGCCACACCAGTCGTAGAACATTCGAGCATAACCATTTACTATGTGAACAACCGGCGCGCACCATTAATACGAGGAAATGCGACTAGTCTGCATTTCGCGAAGCTACGGTCTTCTAATCCGGGAAGGCATTATGTGACGGCCAAAACCAGCGTAGAGCGAGCGTTTCCATACAGTATGAAAACTATGATTAACGAGATGACTGCGTACGCATTTAGCAACCCCTGTGTCTTTATGTTGCACTCTAGATACATCCGAGGCTGTCAAACCCACTGCGCAATCTCATGGCAAGTTG